ATTTGAGAGAGAGAGAGAAACAGCATGAGAGGGGAGAGGGTCAGAGGGAGAAGCAGGCTCCCCGCTGAGCCGGGAGCCCGATGTGGGACTCGATCCCAGGCCTCCGGGAGCATGACCTGAGCCGAAGGCAGTCGCTTAACCAACTGAGCCACCCAGGCGCCTGAACGAATGTCTGTTTTATAGTCATTTTCCCCCACCCATCTTTGCAAATTTCGTAAGTAACAGACTGGTAATTCTCTTCACATTTAGCTTCCTGTTGATTTTAGTAAAGCTGAATATTTTCTTATGTTTCTTTACTAACTGTATTTGTGAATCGTGTGTTCATTTCCTCTATTAATCTGTTATAGTCCTCGTGTTTTTCTTTTCAAGTTTTATGTGCTTTTATACAATTATGTTTGAGGCAAAACAAATTTTCTCATACTTAGCTCTTAACATTCACTATTTTTTCAAGTAAAAAACATAAAGTATGTATGGCAAAACTCTTCATTAAGCCATTAGGAATTTGTTTTACACACAGTGTAAAGGGCTAAGCTGATTTTCTCCCCCATGTTGCAGGTCATTTCTTCCCACTTCACTTACTAAATCATTTTAATTTTACAATGTGACATGATACTTCCTTTGAAGTCTATTAAATATATTTATATTAGGTCTCTTTGGGGGATTATCTGCCATTCTATTCTTTGCCAGGATTGCATTTTTTTAAAAATATAGGATTGCATAATATGTTTTTGTATATGGTCGGTCTCGCCTCCCTTAATTAGCATTCTTTTCTTTTTTTTTTTATGTTTTCTCTGATTTTTTTTCTTATAAATTTATTAGGAAGTTAGGTTCCATAAATAAATTTAAAAAAAGCAATTGAAATTTTGATGGAATTCATGAAGTAAATTCTGGCATCTTTAGAATTTATTTTTTCCTTCCAGAAACATGGAATGCTTCTCTACTTCCAAGTTGTTTCATTCGTTTTTATATTTTTCTTCCTATGTCATAAACACTGCTCTTGCAAAATTGGATGCTTTTCCTTATATGTTCGGCCCTTTATCTTTTCACCTAAGTTTGAAAAATAAATTGGCTTCCATTTTATGGCACTATAACTTTACAAATAAATTTTACATAATGCATGTGCAAGGGTTTCAATATTTCAACTTCACCATGACAGAATCACAGTTATTTTTCAAACACAAGAAAGTTGGCTTAATTTCTTCCCTCGCCCAACTGCCAAATGACAAAACACTCACTAGATACAGATAGCAAAATTCAGTTTCCAGCTAAAAAAAAGAATCAAATGCCAGCTTGCTTTTTAATCTAATGTCAAACTATCAAAAATGTGTCCAAAAGAAGAGCAGACTGATGGTAACTAGTGGATCAGAATAAATTTTTCAAATCAAAATCAGGACTAATTAGCACTGTGTGCTCCTACCTGAGCTCCGGTTGCTATCTCATCAGCAGCTTCGTTCATTACTCCCAGGGTTTGAAAAGCAAACACACACAGCTCTCGCTCACACACAGTGGGCTACAAAAGAAAGGGCAATCAGTTACAACAGTTTTTTCCATTTCCCAATTCCTAAATTAATTTTATGACATTCCATTAAATATCTAAAAAAAAAAAATGTGAAGTTTCAGAATGTTAAAAAGAAAGGCTTCACAGGACCCTATTTAACAAAAGTTAAATTTCTAAATTTGGGTAACAATTCAGGAAAATAATCATCTAGTGATATGGAGTCACAAATACAAGAAATTCATTTCAAATAGTTGTAGGTGCTTGCACTTAGAATTTTTAGCAATAGATGGAAAATCCATCTCTCCTACTTAATACACATTTGTACCTGAGATGTATTAAAAAAAAAGCAGACACCTAAGCTGGTGATATACTAAAAAATGAGGTTAAACCCAACAGCTGTGTAAAACAAATATATCAAGAAGAATTCCACTTTTTCCTAGGTAATTTTCTTTGGAAGGAATAAGCATGATTCTGCTTACTTGCTACCCAGCTCTTGAAAGATTGGTTTTGTTGCAAAGACTTTTGACTTCAATAACCTCCTGAAGTCAACAGCGCTGAAATATACACTCTGCAATTGCTTTGGGAGACTTCTCATCTTTCACATCTAATACAGTGTCATCTGTCTGATTTATCTTATCTCCCGAGTTACGTTGCATTAGGTAGCTGATGAAGCCTGACACGATACAACCCACGGTGTCGCTGCCTAGCAGACAAAAGGCATTTTGTTAGTGCCACTGCTCCTACGCTCATTCATTTCCGAGGACTTAGTCTAGTGCTTAACCAGTGGGAAGTATGGTCCTTTATGGTCCATCCTTCATGTTCAGAATGGGTCCATACGGTGGCTTTGTGGACAGAAGCATGACCGATCACAAACATTTCTGGTTGATGTTTCCCAAAGAGAATTTTAGGAAAAAATCAACTGATACATCCCTTTGTCCACCTTAAAAGGGCAGTTTGATTACATTTCAGAAACATCAGGATGCACAAACAATGAATCATGGAACACTTCATCTAAAACTAATGATGTAATGTATGGGGATTAACATAAGAATAAAAAAAATTTTAAAAAATTAAAAAAAAAGAAACATCAGGAAAAACTACCTATGAGAGGAAATTAATTGGAGAAAGCCCTTCACCCAGACTCAAGCTATATACACACTGCTATATATAGACAGCTATACTTAGAGCAGACTGTTCAATTTCTGCTTATTCTTTTCTTAAGTGTTTAACCTATTTTTAATATTCTATTTTTTTTGTGTTTATCTATGTGCATGTATGTCTCAACCTCAATTTTCCCCAGGGACATTGGTTGTTTCTTTTGTTCAATTTCTGGGAGCATGATATGGTCTGAAATAATAAGAGCAATCATTTATTGTACCTTTACCACAGCGACAAACACTATATTGGTGTATAGTGGACCTGTATACAAAAAGAATCCACGGAGAAGATAAACCATGGAAATCATAAAGGGCCCTAAGAATTTATTCATGTACCAGCTACCCAACAACCTTCACTGAGGAAGTAAACAGGGACACAGAAGGTATTTTATTTTTAATACTACTCTCGTCAAATAACCATACATTTTTTGTGAATAAAATCCATCAATCCCAAAGGAATAATAGGATAAAGCTTATTTAGTGTATACAAGTAATAACTGATTTTATTTTTTCATTTGAACTTTGGCAATCAATTATACTTATTTTGTGATCATCCAAATATATATGTATGTATGTACATATGTACATGTGTATTCACAAACAGATTCCAGGGAATGTTTTAAAACAATAGAAACTATCTTTTACAGTACCAAGTTGTTGCTTTAAACAATGGAAATTAAAATGAAATAAAATATCTCACACTCCACTAGATTGGATGGATAAATTTTTAAGATTTTAATATAGGAAAAATGTCTAAGACTGAAGAAAAAATAGAATATTCTTACATATCTCTATCACACTTTGTCCCCAATCTTAAGTATTCATGTGCCACCCCTGATTTTGTCTCAAATAATTTTTACCAATTTCACCCTGACCTCCTACTTTTTTTTTTTTTTTATCTTGGTTAACAAATGAGCAACATTTCAATGCTTTCTTCTGTATTTCCATTTCATCCTCTTCCCAGACCTGATTATATTCAAATCTCCAAATCACATGGACTTGCCAACTGACCCATTACTTTTTTTTTTTCAAGGATTTTATTTATTCATTTGAGACAGAGAGATACAGAAAGAGAGAAAGCATGAGCAGGGGGAGACGGAGAGGGGAAGCAGACTCCTCGCTGAGCCAGGAGCCCAGCGTGGGTCCCAGGACCCGGAGACCATGACCTGAGCCGAAGGCAGACGCTAACCATCTGAGCCACCCAGGTGCCCCTGACCCATTACTTTAAATAGTAAACATACATTCCTAAAGATAAAGCTATGGCTTGATTACTTTATGGACACTTCTTTTCTTTCCTTCATCTTTTTGGTTGAAATGTATAAGGCTGATTTATAGGAATATACGGTTACTGCAACTATTTGAAGAAGGAAATCAGATACCCTAGAAAACTTTGGGGGGAAAAGGGCAATTTCGCTACCACACTAAAAAATTAGAAATACACATTACATTCTTATAATTTTATCTTCCCTTTTTTTAAATAGCAAATATAGAGGTAGTAATATGGTGATTAATTTATATGCTATATTAACACCAAACTAGGTAAATACTAGTGAATCTTTAAAATAACAATTCTGTATCTATTGCTCATTTTTACTAGAAAGTTCAAGACAGTATTTGAGATGTAAATCAACTTAATTTTGAGATAAACATTTACAAACTAGATTTTGTAAACTTTTGACCCTCCCTTCTCCCATGTTTACCCACATTTTATTTGAGAAGTTGAAAATGTCAACACAAGATAGCACATGAAAACAAAGTTCTCAAATCATATTAAGCAATCAAGATTAGATGTCTCACTGCTCACAGAAAGGATATCTTATTCAAAAAAGAGAAACCTAATCATTCTTCCCTAATGAAACATAAGTAATTATATTGTGGGTTAGTGTTCTCCCATGTTAGCTGACTCTCAGCTAATCCCCCACCCCCAACATATTCTGCTATTACTATACTTATTTATACAGAAAGCTCTAGCATCAATTAAAAATAGAACGTAGGTGGGTCACCTGGCTGGCTCAGTTGGTAGAGCATGCAACTCTTGATCTTGAGGTTGTGAGTTCAAGCCCCACATTGAGTGTGGAGATTATTTAAATAAATGAATGAATGAGTGAATAATAACATATACCCCCAATTTTTTTAAGTATTAAAAAAAGAGAACATAGTCATTTAATAGCTATTACTGGATAAATGTAATGATGTGTCTTACTACACATAATTTAATACAAAGCATATATGCCTAAATATAACCAAATGTATACATCATTTATGAATTCATTTTTTAGTTTACACTCAGTAAGTCTCAATTTGTAAAATATTACCAATTCTGAATGTTATTGTATTGCCCTCAAGCAATTAGTTCCTATAATTTGAACTGTAAAACCATGACAAGTCCCTCTTGCCATTCTACATACATAATTTTTTTGCAATATAATATTCATTATGCACCATTTGAACACAAGGATAACTTTATATGTCCCTAAGATTTATTTTAGAAGTTTTAAAGCTAAGACAAATACATTTTAAATTTTAGTTGAATCAAAACCATTTAAATGTGTGCAATGAAAACGTATTTCAAAAATGGTGAAGCCCTAAAGAATATTTTAGAAACTAACTGCATTTTAGAAACTTTGTGTCTTCAATGAATTTAAATTACTTCCTACTAAAAACAGAAATGGTAAAACTCAAGAGAATCTAGCTATGTACTTATATATAGCATGGTGTAGGTGAGAGGTTTTCAAACCTTTTCTGCCATGCTCTTTCCGTTCAAACAAAATTTTTCATGTAAGCCCAATATATAGAACAGATAAAAAGTGGTGATTGTTCCAATGGGGGCAGATGCGCACAGTTCAGTTTTCCTGTCTGTAAAACAGGGATAAAAAAATCACATCTAGCGAACCAGGTTGATAAGAAGACCAAGAAAGAGAACCAAGTAAGATAAGGTTTAGAAAATCTCCCTGAGGTATACAGAGCTGTTTAAATATTAACAATATTAGGTAACTTGGATAAGCTATACCTTCTACTTGTTTTAACCCAATGTGTATACAAAAATAAGTGTTTAATAAAAATTTTCATTAGAGCTTATTATGAAATCGTAGTTTTATTTTCATATCCATAGTTTATTGAAACCCTTAATTTATTGTTAAAATTGTTCTTGCTAAAAGAGAAATGAGCAATGTAAATAAAATTCATAATTAAAAAACTAGGGTTGAAAACATATGAGAATAATTAAGAATAGCTACCAGAAATTCAAAACCTATAAGCCTTTAGCTCTTTGTATTTCTGATTTTATAGTCAATGCTTCCTGTTCTTTTCATGGTTTGGAAGAGAGACACATTCAGGGCAGGGATGGGTGGGGGGGGAGTTCACTGTCCATCAAGAAAGACAGGAATCCCACAGAGATCAAGACAGATTTATAGTAAAGATAGGCTCATGCCTGTTTAAGTTTCAACACAGTGTTCCCTATTATCTCATACAACTAAAGTTGTTGTTTGAGCCTTAAAACCAATTTCTTTCTACTCATTTTGGATGTGAAAAAAATCATATTTCTGAACTAAAGTGTTTGGTATAATTATTATTTAGCCTGTATTTCAAAAATTGAAATCTTATTTCTGTGGCATGAGGTGGGGGATGCGAGGAGGAGGTGAGGAGGGAACAGGATGTGCTTTTCCATCCATTCTTCAAATATTAAAGTCAGACCTAAATACAAGAAGACCTACCTGTTTTACTCTTAGGAAGTAAAATGGGACATATCAGGGTTTACCTACATGTTCAGTTTCTCAATAATTTTCATGGGAATGCCTTAAACTTATGACCAAATTATAACTGGGTGTCATTAATTACACTCTGAAAATAAGAACT